AGAGACAGGGTTTCACCATGTTGGCCAGGCTGGTCTCGAACTCCTGACCTCAAGTGATCCACCCACCTCGGTCTCCCAAAGTGCTGGGGTTACAGGTGCAAGCCACTGTGCTGGCCAAAAAAAAATTTTTTTAATTAAAAAAAAAAAAAAAAGATACAAGTTGGGCATGGTGGTTCACACCTGTGTAGTCCCAGCTACTTGGGAGGCTGAGGCAGGAGAATCGCTTGAACCCGGGAGCCAGAGGTTGCAGTGAGCCGAGACCGCACCACTGCACTCCAGCCTGGGCAAAAAGAGCGAAACTCTGTCTCAAAAAAAAAGTTAAATTCTCTGCACCATCATGAAGTTGAATATATTTTTTATCCACAGGCAAATCTGAGTAGCCTCCAAGAGGCACACAAGCAGAGGATAGGCTGTGTGGCCCTGCCTGGTCATCCTGACAGACTCTGACCCTGGCTCTTCCTACTCCTCTTCCACTCCAGGACATCCTACTTAACTAATCCTGACATGAGTTTCTTGTGCTTTAGTCTACAAGTTAGGAAAGAGGGGAAGTGATAAACTGAAGCTCTCCAACCTGTTGAGGGATTAGGGGTTCTTGTAAGGCTCCCCAGGGCCTAGCTCTGACAAAGCGTCTGCAACTAATGACGCTTCTTGAGCTCTGGAGACAGGATTTATGCATCTAATAAAGTCTATAACTCCAGGCTTAGGGGCCTGGGGCAGGAGGCTGAAAGCATGAAGTCCTGGGGGTGCCATGGGAGGAGATCCCAGGCGGCTCCTAATGAGCCCTGCATTTCCATTTGCCTGCTCTAGATTCCCCTAAGGCTACTGTGAGGCTGGGGGTGTGGGGGACAGCAGGTATAAGAGGCTGGGGTGGCTGTAGGAGGGTGGATGGCAGCATGGATTCTAGGCAGGCTGCTGCACTGCTGGTGCTGCTGCTGTTAATAGACCAGGGCTGTGCTGAAGGGCCAGGCGGCCAGCAAGACCACCAGCTCCCCGCGGTGAGTGTGTCCCATCCCCATATCACCATTGCCTCTACCTCGGTTAAGACTTGTGCTCTAGGTTCTGATACTTTCTCTGGCTGCCAAGGTTGCCATTAGGTCCTCAAATCTGAGGAAATGGTTCTGCAGCCTCCTACCCCTTGCCCCTGGAAGCCAGTCCCTTCCCCTTGTGACTTACATGTCCAGGGTATTTGCCCATCTTCCTTCCCTGATACCCCCTTGGCACAGGAGGAAGACAGTGAACCCCTCCCGCCACAGGATGCCCAGACCTCTGGGTCACTGTTGCGCTACCTGCTCCAGGCAATGGAGAGACCTGGCCGGAGCCAAGCCTTCCTGTTTCAGCCCCAGAGGTGAGTCTGAAAGGGACACAAGCATGGCAGGGGTTGGGGGTAGAAAGGGCAGGAGACAGAGGACGAGGAGAAGGGGGCTAGAGAAGAGAGACTGCAGGGACCTGAGGACAAATCTTTCCTAAGGTTTGGCAGAAATACCCGGGGATCCTGGAGCAATGAACGGCTGAGTCCCCGGGCTGGAGAGGGGCTGAATTCCCAGTTCTGGAGCCTGGCTGCCCCTCAACGCTTTGGGAAGAAGTGACATGTCATCCCTTGATATGTTTGCATGCAAGGCCCACACCCAAAAGTGTCAATATTTGCCCCCCAAATAAAGTTGTCTGGCTTCTGAATCCATGTGTGTCTGTGTGAGACTTTACAGGGCTGGGTGGAAGCCCAAGAGCAAGAACCACTGCCCTTCCCTCTCCACCAAACCCAGCCCTCCAACAAGGCAGCCGACAACATTCCAGGAGGCCACTGCACCCAGCCTCCTCCCACCAGAAAGGAAAACATGAGAATGGCTGGAGCGGAGCTCAGGGAAGGCACACAAAAGTCATGTGGTGACCTCCTCTGCTATCCACACTGCTCAGGAAACAGGAGAAGGGCTTAAAAATCTACAAAGCAGCATATTTATTCCAGGCTCTAGTAGACAGCCCCGATTTCATTCCCATTCATCATCACCAATAAAATGAGGACGAATCCTGGGCTGGCTGAGGCCCTGTGGTCCTTGGCTCCTTGCCCTGTGCCTTCTCAGCCTCAAGGCAGGCAGTCTGTGTCAGAGGTAGAGTTGGTACCCACAGAGGGTACCAGAGCTGCGCAGATACATGAGCCCAGAGGCAGAAAGAGCAGGGAGCAAAGGGTGCACATCCATGAGTCCAGCTGGGGCTTCACTTGCTGCCTGCCATGATCTTGAGGTACTGCAGGGCACGGCGGGCAGCCTCACCACGGGCTGCCTCCCTGGTGGTTGCAGAGCCATGACACACAGTGGCCGGCTGGGTGGACAGTTCCACCAGGCACTGGCAGAGTCCACTCAGGCTCAGTTCCTCTGGAGAGCAAGAGAGAGGAGGGAGGCAATGTTGGGTGGGGAGGTAGCCCTGGGGAGGGGTGCGTTCACGTCATCATCACCCCCTTCTACTTGCTCCAGTCCAGCCCCCACCATCCCCTGGCTCACTCCTCAGCTAGCCATACCAATATCCAGGTAGCTGACATGGAAGGCCTGCTCCTCAGAGAGCTCACTGAGGACACGGCAGCAGGCAGGGCCCAGGGCACCCAGGGAGCCCAGGGAGCAACTGCGGAGGGACAGGATCTTCTCTCCCACTGAATTTCGTAGAGAATCCCAGGTGCAACCTGGGCCCCGGTTTCGAAGACCATCCAGGCGGGAGCCCACACCCTGTCAAGATGGGAACAGTGAGAAAGATGAAGCGAGAGACTCTGGGACCCAGGCATTGAAATATTCAGCGTCAAAGGAGAAGAACAAAGAATGCTTCCTCCAGCTTGCCTCCCCCCACTCAATCCCTGGGTGGCCCCTTCTAACTACCAGGTCCTGGGCCAGATAGCCAAGCATCCCTCCTCATCCCAGTAACAGAGCTACAGAGCGGGCCTACAGTCAAGGCTGAGTCGGCCCCAGGAACCCTGGGTCTGGTAGGAAAAGTGTGGCAGAAGCAGGCCTAGGACCCAGAGAGGCTCACTGCTGAGTCACAGACCCAAGTCCCTGGAGCCCTGCCCTGGCATGGAGGATGGGCCACGGTGCCCAGCCCACATGAGCCACTCACAATGGAGAAGTGGTCATCATCAGGCTCCACCTCATTGCCATCCCGGGCATCCAGAGGCACCGTGTGCACTCGAAGCAGCATTTTGGCCGCCGCATTCCGCTTTGCCAATTTTTTGGAAGTGCCACTCCCTGCATGTGGAGAGAGGGCTGCTGGATTATGATTCCCCACAGACCCAGTGCTTTCACCCAGGTCATACTTGGATTAAGGGTCCCCCCAGAATGTCAACTGGAAAGGGGAACTCAGGACCTGCCCGTGCACCTGAGAACCTGGTCAGCCAGGAAGAAGGGGACAGATAGGGTGCCAAGAAGCTAAAAGGAAGGGGCTGAGCCAGGGACTGTAAAGCTAAGAGAGCAGGGGGTGTAGCAGAGTGAGGCTAGGAGCTGCTCTGGGGCTGGGGCCAGAGTGCTGCGGGAGAGGAGCTGTGAGAACCCCCTCCTGCCCGGTTACCAATCTCAATGAAACGCTCCACTCGGCAGGTCATGGTGAATTCTTTGCGGTGGGCTGGTCCGGACTCCTGGGTCACTGTGTACTCTGGCAACCGCCAGCCTTTCTGCACCACCAGCTCCTTGGAAGGGAGACACAGGGTGCATGAGGCTGAGTGAAAAAAGGCTTCTCACACCCACGCTGGTCCCCACGCAGGAGCCTCAGACTCTAGGTGAGAGGAAGGAGAGAGGGGGGTGGAAAGGGCCTCAGTACAGGGAACCGCCCCCACCCCCAAACACACATAACCTTCCCTCACGGCCCCTGGCTCAAAGGAAGACAGGCATGCATGCGAAATGAGGATGGGGCACACCTGCAGAGCACCAACGGGATTGCACTCAGACTGCTGAGGGGAGACAGGGGGCTGCAGTTCCATGGGGGGGCTCCTGAAGGAAAAAGGGCACAGGGCCAAAGTTGAGGTGAAGGGTTCCATCTGAGCCTGCCCATGAGCTCCAAGCCTAACCACTACTTTAGATTCCTGACTACCACCTCCTGATTCCCACCGGGCAGGCAGCTGTCTGTCCACACATCGAACCTGCTCCCTCCTGCTCTAGCCGGCTTCCTTCCCCCTCCCACTCAAGGGAGGCCTTCTCCAGGCCCCAGCCCATTTCCAATCTGGAACACTTGTGTATCATCCAAGCCAGGACAGTGGGAGAAGAGCTGTATTTCCAGTCCCAGAAGTGCCTGATGGGCCTCAAACACAGAACTGACATGTGGTCAACCCAGAAGAAAATGGGGCCTGCGAGACCCTTAAATATGGTCGAACATCATCCATAAGGCTATCTGAAAATCACAAATGACCTTCTGTCCCAAGAGCTTACCCCAGCTGCTGTGATTTCTTCAAGTTCTGGTTCCCAACTATTCCATTCTGTTTATTCTCAGACTTCCTCATGCCTGACCAGCCTGGGTCCAAAGACTGAGGAGCCAAAAACCAGAACCCCTTCCTCCACCCACCTCAGGCAGTCAGGGAACACAGATACCTGGTTAGGACAACAGATGGAACTGGGGTAGCAGCTGCTGCAGCAGTAAAAATCGGAATGTCCTCAGGCAGTGAAGAGTCTAGGGGAGAAAAAGAACTTCCCGAGGGGAAGGGGGCCTTTGATTCACACCCATGTATAGGGGGAAGAGAGGGGTGGGGGACCCACGTCCTCCTGACCTCCCGATCCCCTAAGAGAACTTCCAAATTGAGCCAAAGAATCAGAGAGGCTCAACCAACAGCTTCCTCCTGGGATCCTTTGCCGCCAAACACCGGCAAAAAGACTGAGAAAAGAGGGTCTCTTTGTACCAAAGAACCAGAGGAGCAACAAACTCCAACCTGCGCGTGAAGGAAGGACATCTTGCTAGAACAAGGAGGTATGTTGGGGAGCAACTCCCTTTAGCCTCAGCCTCCACCCCTCTCCCTCCCTAACCCAGGTCCCAATCTACTGCCACAACCCCTCTATGGGGCTAACCAACCCCTCCACCCCAAGAATTCTTCATAGCAGCAGACGCCCTGGAAGACCCTGTTCAGGTCCAGAGGGACTCTCAGGAAGAGGCCAGGTCAGGGTGGCTAAGTGTCACCTGGCCAGGCCTGGTGGCAGAGGGGGAGGTGCAGGGCCTGGGTTCCTTGAAGGGCTTCTGGGATGCCTCGGTTCCTCCCTCACCTGCTGTCCTCCAGGGCCGGCTCCAGCATGCTCCCCCCTTTGAGGTGTTTGAGGGCCACCTCAGCTGCCTTGTGCTTGGCTGCCTTCTTGCTGGGGCCCTGACCTGAGAGAGGGGGCATGGGCAATACTGGAGGTCACTGGAAGGATGGGAGAGAAACCAGCATCCCACAGCCTCTCTCCTCAGAGCCAGTGGGAATCAATCAAGCCCCTTCTGACCAACCACCCCCTGCTGAAGACTGGAAGTGTTTCACTAATTGCTAGAAGGAAGAGCCTTTATCTTTCCATTAGCTTCCAGAATTAAGCCATGCCAAGCAGGACTTCTGAGCTCAAACGCCTTGGGTGGACTTCTGAACTCAAATGCTTTAATTTCCTTTGCAAAGCACTTTCTTTTCCCTCAATAAAAACAGAGAGCTGGAATAAGAGAGGGTAGGCTCTGGAGTAAAAGCCCCACTCCGCCACATACTAGGCATGTGACCATGCACCAGCCATTTACTATCTCAAATACTCAGTTTCCTCATATTCAACATGGGCAGGCGGGGGGAGGAGTGGGGGGGGATACTGCCACCTACATCACTGGTTAGACTGAGGTTTAAAATTAAATGGGAATTTGGTTAAGCACCGGGAACAGAGCCCAGCATGCCAGGCACTCACTCCCCCAAATACTCCACTGGGATTTCAGTTATCTTCTCTTCCTTTTCCTCTAGGGTGATGTGGCAGTCCTGATCGATCCTCTAACTCTCCCACGTCCTACCCACCTTCTCACAGCCCTGTTCTCCCAATCCAGTCAGTAGCTTTTCCCCTGAAATCTCTCCTTCCCTCACTGGCCTTGAAGAAAAGGACTGTGAAGAAAGAGACTCCAAGAAACAAAGCCATGGGGACCTGCAAATGCACACCCCAGCCAGGCTGCCCAAGCCTTCCTCACCAGTGCAGCTGGTGTCGCCAACGGTGACCCGGAAGGTGAAATTAGGCTGGTGGGCTTGGCCCTCGGCTTTGAGAAGGTCGTACACAGGCGTCTTCCCTATTCTGGTCCCATACTCCTGCAGAAGGCTGATCGGGGTCTTGCCTGGGTTGGCGGCCAGCATTTGCTCTATACTGGGGGAAGGGGCACAGACCCATATCACACCTCCCCTCTCTGCACCCACCTGGCCAAGCACTTCCATACCAGACCTAGGCACATTATGGGGGACATAGGGTCCAACGAACCCCAGGCAGTCTAGCATCCATTGGCTGGGTTCCAAGTGTAGGTGCAGGCTGGAAGAGTAGGGCCCACTACCTCAAAGCAAGGGGGGAAGAATGCACTGCTCCTGCCTCAGTTAAGGTGGGCACGATCCTGTGCCCCATGCAGGTTGAAAGTGCATACCCCCTGACACAGTGCAAGCCAGGAACCCAGTACCCACCAAATGCACTGAATGTGGGGGCATAAAGCCCAGTGTTCCAGTGCAGTCTGGGAACCGGGCCAACCCCAAACTATTTAGAGCTGAAGGCAGCAGCCACTGCCCCGGTGCACGCCGGGAACCACTGCCCACTGCCCCAGTGCTTGCCGGGAACAACCCTCAGGCCAGGTGCATGCTGGGGCCGCGCCGCTACTCCCTCCGCACGGCCCCACGCTTTTTGCCCAGAAGGAATCGGTACGAGGCGGCTCACCTAGGCAGCCCGCAGCCCGTGGTAATGCCGGAGCCTTGCTCCTCTTCACTCATTCCCTCCTCCGTCCCCGCGGGCGCCACCGTGACTGCAGCCTCCACGCGCCCCAATACACCGCCGACGAGCTAGGGCCGGGGCCAAGCCCGGAGTCGCGGCCGGTAGGGCCCGCCGAGGGGCACGCTGGGATATGGAGTTCCCCGCCCACCCTACTTCATGAGCCTCCATCTGGAGGGGAGCTATCCGCCCCACAACCCTCCGCGTGGCTCGCCCGGGCCGGCTGCACCGCCTTCTGGGAGGAGCGGGCTCTCCGCAGTCGCTTCTCGAGAAGGCTGTATTTTTTTGTTTGTAATACCGTCCCGCCTCCTTCCTTCCGCGCCCCCTCTCTCCCAGGCCGTGAGGCTGTGGACATGCGTACTAGCGGAGGGGAAGCCGCTGGGTAGCGGGGCGGTAAGGACTCGCTTGGACACGGAGCCTTTTGGATCCCGAGAAAACTACAGAACCCAGGAGTCCGCGCGCCATCTTTGCCGCAGCTGGAGGGGCAGGGTCAAGCACGCACGAGAAGCTTCATGTTGTCATTGGTTACTCCCATTGCGTTTACTTCCTCTAGGCACATTGGAATTGGTTACTTCGACTAAAGGGGCGGGGACAAGGAAAAGTCAGCCCCCTGACCCCGCCTCCTTGGTGAAGGAAGGTTGTGATTGGTCCGGAGAGGTTGCTGTCGGATCCGGGCTCTTTGCGGTCTGAGAGGGTGGGCTTTACCTAGACGCCGGAGGGGACCGATGTCTGTCTGCGCAGGGCTCTGGAGCTGGTGCAGATCCAAGTCAGTCTCAGACAGTCCCCTCAACCCACAGCCTAAGCCCCTGGCCCTTGGGCCTCCGTGACACAGAACTTGCTTCCTCTTCCTAGGTTGTCCTTCACCTCCCTTCAGGTTTTGCTTCTTTTGTAAAACCTTTTTAGAACGGCTCTAGTGAACCTCTAACTGGCAAGGAAATCTCTGGGGCCTGATAATCAGGCTGTGGTGTGGGGCGACAGGATTAGAAGGACTAGGCACCTGGTGGTCTCGTTCCCTCTGCCATGAGTCTTGGGTCTCTCAGCTGAAGAAAGCAAGAGTGAATTTTGGCCGCCTAAGACTAATCAACTGATCTGGGTGTTGAGCAGACGCAAATTTTTTAGTCCTAGAGCCCCATTGCCTCCTCCCCCAAAGTCGCACAACCACTGGGCTAAGGGAAATCTTGTGACCTTGGAGAAAGGGAGATATCACATTTTAAATAAATAAATAAATAAATAAAGGTTCTAATGAGTGTTCTGAGAAGGGGTCAAGAAAGAGATGTCTTACTCTGAGGCGGGGCTGGAGGTCCAGAGGAATCTTTAAATGATAATGAGGGGTCATCCAGGAACACTGGAGGAGGATGGGGCCTAGAGTCGAGTGAATTCCAAGTGGGTGAAATTAGAGTGAGCGGTGACAATCAAGGGAAGGAGAGCTGGCAAGATCAGTATGATAGGGGGAGCAATGCCAGAGCGCTAGGGATCCCAACTGAGGGGCTGCTCTCTCCGATGTAGAAAGGAGTCTATAAGACGAGTCATAGGGGGTTCCTGTGGAATCAGCCTAAGGCCTGAGGTGGGACCTCCATAGGACACCGCCAGCAGGAAAGCGCGGGGCCCAGGCGGGCCAGGGACAAGAGTGGAGCGCGCCGGATGGCAGCAGCGGGCTCCTTTAAGAGGCCGGCGGCTCCATCGCAGCATCCCCCGCTCAGGGCGTGTCCGTCCCGGGGGGCCAGGGGCGGGGGCCCTGGAAGGAGCGGGAGTTCAAGCCGAGCAGGGACGGGGCTAGGGGTCGGGGGGTGGGGGCAGCAAGCTGAAGCTGACACCCGTGCATCCGGACACCGCACGAGCATCGCCTGTGACAGCGCCCCGGGTCCGGTGGAGGGCAGCGGGGGGAGGAGGGAAGGAGGAGGAGAAGGAGGAGGAGGCGGGAGCAGCATCCGGAGCGGAGCTGCAGCAGCGCCGCCTTTTGTGCTGCGGCCGCGGAGCCCCCGAGGTGAGAGCCTGGCCGAGTTGTGGGGGGGTGGGGGGCAGGGATGGGTCCGGGTCTTGGGATCCGGGCGTGGAGGGAGGGTCGGGATGCAGATGTGGCCTGGTGCGGGTGGTGGTGTGGGGATGCTGAAGCTGTGGGGATGGAGGAACTGGGGACCTGGACCCGACGCGTGTGGGGCTGGGAAGGAAGGGAATGGAGCGGAGAGATGCCGCGGCCCAGCTTGGAGACGAAGGGCCTCCAGAGCTGGAAAGGACCGTATTGGGGTGGGGTGGAGGGTGATTGGGGGACAGACTTAAAGGACAGAGGGCAAGAGAACATCTCCTCCCACTCATCTTCAGGAAGGGATAGAGGGAAGGAGGAGGGAGAGTTTTGGCCCCCTCCAGGGAAGGAAAGGAAGGGCAAGGACTGATGTACCCACATCTCCCTCCACACACACACAGACAGACACACACACACACACACTTAGCAGGCTGGACCTGAAGATTAGTCAGAGAGCACCTGTTCCTAGATGTCCAGGCGTTGGTCCCCTCCCCTTCCAGCTGTGATCCTCCTAATCCCCTCCAGCTGTGGCATTCACCTCCATCCAGCTGTTGCATCCTCCCCTCCCCCATTCACGTGTGGGTTTCTCCCTCCTCTTTCTCTCCATCTCCTCTGGCTCCCCTAACCCGTCTCCCCCAGTCAAACCCTCCAAAAACCTCCTCCCTTTCCCACAAACACTCCTCAAACTCATTGGCTTAAAAATAAGCAAGAGTTGAGACTTGCTGGTAACCAAGGCCTTGACTGAGAGGAGGGAAGAGTCAAGGCTCTGTAGACAGTGGGAGGAAACAGTGAGGTGTCCCTTAGAATTAAGGGAGGAGTCCTACCTTGTAGATGCTCATCTGCTGCCTTTTTCAGAGGAGCGTAGGTGAGTGGCCTCCAATCAGGAGGGAGTGCACATGAGGTCTCCTTACCCCACCCAGAGTCGTCTCAAGCCACAGTCAGTGCGTCCCTCTAAACACATTTCCCTTGCAGTTCTCAAGGTGGACTCCATCGCTCTAGGAGCTCTGAGTTTCAGCCAGAGGGTCATACCAAGCCAAGGCTAACAGAAAGGATTTAGGAAGGAAAGGACTCAAGTGCCCCCTGAGCCTTCCTGTCCAGACACTGAAGTTTCTCTGAGCTTTAGGGCCCCACTCCCTCCTATCTCACACAGGTGAAAAAAACATGTGTGTGTCCCCTCAAGCATACCATTCATCCACTCACTCCCATTGTCAACTGGGGTAATGTTGGGAAAACCCCAGCTCTCAACATGGAGACCACCAGCTAAATACCCATCCCAGTTACGGACAGAGGAGGCAAGAAGTTAGATGTGGCTCAGGATTTCCTAGGCTTCCTTATAGCTGAAGAGGGCAGAACCCTTCTAAAAACCAATTGCTCTTCCCCTGGTGGTGACAATATGGTAGGATCAGGCTTTTCTAGGAAGAGGACCCTTGGTTCTGCCACTCACGGCCCAGACTGTTGTAATCCACAGTCCTCCCTCTCCCCTGCCTGGATCTAGAGAGAAAGAAGGAATGAGAGAATCAGCCCCGTAAGAAGTCCTTGCTAGGGTGGACTGGAGATCACCCCTACATTCAGGTCCTCAGCCCTATACCAGTCAAGCCCTGGGACCCCCAGCTGCCATGCTTCTTCCAGTGAGGTGGAAATGTCTGCCCCTCATGCCCGCCACTCATCCACTCACTCACACTGTTGACTGAGGTGATGCTGGGAAGAAGGAGGATACTGTTGAGATGATGCCAGCAGGGGACATAGGGGCTTCATGAGGGCCTGGCCACAGAGACTAGTCTGTCCGGTTCATTGGCTCCCAGAAGCACTGGGGTCATATGTGTGTGTGGGGAAGGTGAGGAGACTGCGACAGTGACCAGATTCCAGAGGAGGCTAAAGATCATTCAGGATAGAGCCCTTGTCCTTTGGTTTCTTCATTCTTTGGTCTTTTTTCCCTCTTGTTTCTCCACCTCCCTTTCCACCTGTACCCTCCCTACTGGTACTTGCTTTGAGAAAGAACAAGGGAAAGAAGGGAAGGGAATCACATTCATAAAAAACTTACAACTGTGTGTTAGGCACTTTCCATATGGCTAATGCTTAGAGAGAGCTTCCTGTGTGCCAGGTCCTGGGCCAAGAACTTTATTTTGATTGTCTTAATCATGCCCTTAACAAGACCAAGTGAGATAGTGTTATCATCATCTCTGATGGAGGAGAAAACTGAAACTTAAGTAATTTGTTTAAAGTAAAAAAGTTAGTATGTGGCAAGAGGTAGGATTTGAACCCAGGTCTGTGTGACCCAGAACCTGTATTCTTACCCACCACATTATGTACTGCATTGTCACTGTGGGACATAGGTACCACTGTCCCCATTTAGCAATGAAGAAACTGAGGTTTGTTGAGAAGTCTCAAGCCAGGTCACCCAACTGGCCAGGAGCAGAGACAAGACCTCAGGAAGCCACTCTGAGTTTGAGGCCTGTGTTCTCTCCTCTACCACCTACCCTCTCCCTATTGCACAACTGTCCTAATAAGCTAAATGAAGGAATGCATGAGCAGTCCATCAATCGTATTTTCTCTTTTACAATTTAAAATAAATGTTATATCTTACTTTAAAAGCAATTCAAAGTTGTTACTGAAATACTAGGAATAGACGTAAACCCAAAGGAGAAAATTAAAACACTCATAATTCCAACTACCTAGAAACTGCTGTTATACTTTGGTATTTATTCTTCCAGATTTTTAAAAATGTCCATCCAGCTGAGGAACTATTTGTTAACATCCACTGAACTTCTTCCTGGTCTATCTGAGGTCCTAGGTAGGAGGGACTCCTGAGGCCCATCCTACCCTGCTCCTGCCCTCCCCTTCCCTGAGGCCTCTATGGGTAAGGCTGAGGGGTGATCCAGGGCCACATGATCAAAGGGAGGATCTTAGCAGTATAGCTGCTTAAGAGAGCAGATTCCAGAGATAACTGGTCAGGGAGTGAGGATGGGTGCAGAAAATTAGGCCTTCCCCCTTAGTCCAGAGGAGACAGAATGGCAGGATTTACAGAGGAAGGCCTGGTGATCTGGTAAAGGAATGACTGGAGACTCCAGCACAATCACTAGCACTGTGACCTGGTTCTCCTGGAACCTGAAATCACGGTTTGTCCTGGGAAAGCAGAAGGTCAGAGACCAAGTCTTCAGCCTCTCCAGGATCCACAAAGAAAGACCTGGTGTCCAGCCAACCAGGAAGACAAAGCAAGGAGGAAGCATGCTGCTCCCTGCACCCCCTCCATCACCTTACTTAACCTTCACCACCCCAGCAGGGAGGGTTGGGCACCATGGAGAGATTACATTCCTTAAACTAATTGGTGGCAAAACTGAGATTCTAGCTCTGATCTCTCCAAATCTGAAGCTGATTCTTTTTTCCTAAATAGTACTGTCCCTCCCTTCCCTGAACCCTTTCACTGTCCACCCCATTGGAAGAAGTGTGGCAGCTAGGAGTCTCAGGGCTTGATTTTCCAATCAAGGACCCGAATTTAGGGGTGATCTCCAGTTTTCCCCCAAGTTCTCAGGGGAAGTCATTTCCTCCTCATGAGGGCACTAAGAAAAGCGATAGTACTTTCCATCTTGGGACCCTGGGGCCAGGACCACGAATCCTGTAAAAAGGAAAATAAAAACAAGCTGCAGGGCAGGACACAGTGGTTCATGCCTGTAACGCCAACATTTTGGGAGACCGAGACTGGTGTATCAGTTGAGCCCACGAGTTTGGAACCAGCCTGAGCAACAGAGTGAGACACGGTCTCTACAGTTTTTTTTTATTTATTTTTTTTTTTTGAGACGGAGTCTCGCTGTCTCCCAGGCTAGAGTGCGGTGGTGGGATCTCAGCTCACTGCAAGCTCCGCCTCCCGGGTTCACGCCATTCTTCTGCCTCAGCCTCCCGAGTAGCTGGGACTACAGGCACCCGCCACCACGCCTGGCTAATTTTTTGTATTTTTAGTAGAGACGGGGTTTCACCATGTTAGCCAGGATAGTCTCCATCTCCTGACCTTGTGATCTGCCTGCCTTGGCCTCCCAAAGTGCTGGGATTAAGGCCTGAGCCACTGCACTCGGCCTCTTTTTTTTTTTTTAATTTAGTCTGGTGTGGTGGTGAGTGCCTGTAGTCCCAGCTACTCAGGAGGCTGAAGGGGGAGGATCACTTGAGCACAGGAGGTTGAGGCTGCAGGCAGTGAACCATGATCGTGCCACTGCACTCCAGCCTGGGCAACAAAGCGAAACCCTGTTTCAAAAACAATACAAGCTGCAGCCAAGCGGACAGGAGGCATGGCCGCGATTCATCAGAGACCTTTATCCTCTCAGGGCCTCAAAGCTTGCAGAAGTGGAAATAGGACTCCAAAGTCTTGGGTCTCCTTTCCCTTTGAAGACTCCCCTCCCTAACCCCACTCACGAGAGAAAGGGAATCATCCTTTTCCTGAGTAAAAAATGAGGTCTCAGACAGTGGAGAGCACTTAGTGTGACAGCCCAAGATTTAGGCAGATGACCTGGCCTCTGAACTGAGCCCCTAAGACCACCAAACAAACAGCTTGACATTGACATTCTGCTGTTATACAAGAAGGAGCTAGAGAGAATTCAGAGTTTACGTGCCACAGGCTTCCAAAATCTCAGGCCAGAGAACCTGGAAGGTGGGATAGATGGGGGGTGACTTTCTACCCCACTCTACCCCGTAGCCTCCTTATGGAGTCACTTTGGGGCCACCAGCAAAGCACTGAATTAGGGCCTCTTGGGTGTCCAAAGAGCCTCCTCCCCTGGCAGTTGTATGGCTTAGAGATCATTCTGTCCCCTCACCCAATGTGAGGCAGAACCACCATCAACACATGGTAGATATGGTTGACAGAGTGACAGAGACCCACCCTCCTGTCACATTGCTGCCCTTCCCCCATGCTCTGCATAATTGATAACCGAGAGACAGCTCCCATCCCCCAGGGTGACTGAACGTCTGGGCCAGGGGCT